TGTGTGTGTGTGTGTGTGTGTGTGTGTGTGTGTGTGTGTGTGTGTGTCTTGCCTTTTAAAGAGGTGTTTTTGCAGTTTGTATTCAAAAAGATGGTCCACTTTACCAAATGCACGGAGTGACACAATTATCTTTTCTTTTTCACTTCTATCCTGCTCCTGTTTTTTCTCTTTTTTTAAATAAGAAGGCTTCTATTGATGTCTCTTCTATTGAATGAAAGGCGCTGGAATAAATGTATGACCAGAGTGACCAGAAATAGAACATGAAGAGTCAGCTTGAAGGAGTGTTTGTGTGTGGGCGACATCGCTGCGTGCGGTCTCACAGGACTGTAATAAAAGAGCAGAATATCTCAACAAAAAAACAATAGTAACATGCTAAAGACAAGTTTTGGCACTTTGTCTCTCTTGGCCTGTGATTGGCAGCAACTAAAAGCACACGGTAGCATGGCAATAGCTCCTAGCAGCAAGCAACTCTTTCAACCAATTACCATATGGGTGAAGGCTGGGAGGAGTTTGTTATGTCATAATGCAGTGGGTCCAATTGGCCAGTGAGTTCTGTGCCGAAGCATGACGGCAAGGTTTCTTTTCCAGGTGTTCAGTTGTCATTGTCACTTCCTGTTGTTGTCGATACAGTTTTGGTTGAGGAAGTGTATGTATATTGATCTACCGATTTATCAAAGTAATAATCTGCCTTCATCTAAGAGGTAAGAACCTGTAAAGCTGTTGGACTGAAGAAAAAAAAAATAATTTAGTCTTCAAACTGTTAATGTTCCATTTCCCATAGTCTCATATCAGCCTTCAAATATGACAAATTACTCCTCTGCTTCCTTTTTTCCTTACTTCAGCAATTATTCTTTGCTCTTCCTCTTTCGCTCCCTCGTCTCCCTCTCTTCTCACAACCCCCCTTTACCTTCATGCCATAACTTCTCTCTTCCTCTGCTTCTCTCTCTCTCTCTCTCTCTCTCTCTCTCTCTCTCTCTCTCTCTCTCTCAGCTGCTCCTCCCAGCTGTTTAATCACACATGGCTCATGCCTAAAAAAAGTGAGGGAGGGAGGGGACAAATGGGAGGAGAGACAGAGCGCAAAAGAAAGAGTGGGTGAGAGAGAGAGAGAGACAGAGAGAATGCGAGCAGCGGGCCGAGTGTGAGGCACATGGCCAGTGACTGAGAGATCTTTGCCTCCCCTCAGTGTGAGCTCCTTCTCCCACTGTCTCCCTCGCTCTGGTTGGATTACTGCTGAGGAAGGACCTCGTCTGGATACTCCTCTCTTCCCTCACTCCTCTCCTCTCTGCCTCCCTCAGTCTCTCGCTGAAGGGACCCCGGGCTCTCAAGTCTTCCCAGATTCTCACGTCTCTTTCTCCTTTTGCCCCCCCCCCCCCCTCCCCTCTCCCCTGCTTCCCCCTCAGGATGTCGTGTGAGGAGGCTCAGCTCCACAAAGAGAGGCTGCAGGCCTTGGCGGTAAGTCAGAGTGCATTTTTAAAAACTGTGTGCTTTTTGGGGGGTTTTTTTGCTTCTTTATATTTCTTTGACCTTCCATCTGTTTGTTTTTTTGCTGTCTGTTTGTCTGCGAGTGCTTTCGTAGCTCACCGTCTCACCTCGACTTCATCTCTGTCTGTCATTCACAGTACAATATCATGCAGAACTGTCTGGCACCTCCTGAAACTCTGTTAGTCCCTCTCTGCCTCTTTCATTAGTTCCCATGCTCTGCCAGGCTCTCTCTGAACTAGTCACATTGTTCATTCATGTTCCATTCACAAAGTGATCTGTGTTTCGTCTCTTCGCTCCATACCAAAGTTCAAGTTTATTGAACGTTGCCTGATGAACTCCTGTGACGTAAACGGTAGAGGTGCCGCACATCACGGTGACCCCATGGCTGCTAATTAAGTGTGGAGCAGCGGCGGTCTGTCCTGGTGTTTTTATAATGGTTATGAAGCCAATCACCTTTAACAGATGAACCTAAACATGAACTGGAGATAAATTAACTCTCTGTGTTACGCATTCCACAAGTTAGCTGGTGGTCACCTACCTTAGCTTCTGTGGTGGGACGCTAAATGCTAACCAATGTGACAAAAGCTTCTTTTTTTGATCACAATTGCATCATTGCAGTTTTTTAATGGTTTGATTAAAAATAATTAATAAGCTCAAAGTGTTGGGAGCACTACTTCATGACATCATAACCCCCGACATCCATTTTTGTCACACAAAACAAAGTGATATTCGTTGCACCGATTGTAATGTGCCTTGCTTCTTCACTCTCCCTTGTGCCCTACACTGCTGCTGTGTTTGTCTCGCTGCTCTTGTCCGTTTTTATCTTTCATCCATGTCTTTTTTTGGGTGAACCAACTCTGAGGAAAGTTGGTGGAAAATCAGCTCTGTTTTTTTACTTTTTTTTTTTCTTTTTGGTGAGATGTCTGAGGTTTTTTAGGTGTTCGCACTTTCCAAGGTAGCATGATCTCAGCCGCGAGGCGGTCCAGAATACGTTCGGATGCTCGCCGTCATGTTTCACGATCACGGAGGCATTCGTTGAAGTGCTTGGCTCGCTGCTGATAGGACTTCACAGCAACAGTTAGACCTGGATTCTCTGCCTGGGACTAAATTTGGCGCCAGCGAGCTACCACAGCATACCACACACACACACACACACACACACACACACACACACACACACACACATTCATACACACAAGTGGGGTGAACAGCAGCACCAGCAGCAGATGGAGAAACTATTTTGGCCACGTCGAAACATGGCAGCCATACCAGGCTGCATGTGCTTAAACCAGTCAGGCACTTAAGTAAAGAAACAGAGTGGGAAGCTTCTGACAGTTGTGAGCACAGACGAACAAGCGTTTCTGTTTCTTGCATCATTCTTGCATGTGTATTGGATCAAACACTGGAAAAATATTCGATTACGGTATCGTGTAAATGGGTTTTGGTTCGGTGCACGAAGCCAAAAATAACAACAAACATTGCAGAATATTCTGGCGGCAGCTGTCGTGACGTTACGGAGAACGTTTCTATCTAGTCTAATTCTATCCTGAAGTACAATCAGAGGTCCTACTGGAAGTGCCAAGAGTCAAAAGTAAAAGTTTGTCTCCCTCAAATGAGCGTCTGCCTCGTCTCAGCTCTGTGTGTGTGTGTCTGTACACTATATCAAAGACAATAAGGGGCACTAATAGCCTTCAAGCCCTACCGGGGCACTTAAATAGAGAAGGGTTACTATTACACTAATAGTACTAACAACCCTCTAAGCGCTCTGTAAGCCACAGACTCAGCCAAACAGCGCAGGTCCAGTGTAAATACAGGAGCCCGACAACGTTTTCCAGAGCATCTCGCAGGGAAGGGGAAGAATCTTGTAAAACCTCTTTCGACTGCCAATCAAAAGCAAGCGTTTCCTAATCCGGCGGCAGCTTCAGCGCACCAGAAACACTGGATTCAAGTCGTTAAAACTAGTTTATATGGTCCTCCACAGGCAATATTTATGAAATAATGTTTTCCTTGTCTGACTGTCTGTTCTGAATAAGTATTACTAAACCCCTGTAGAGAGGTGTACAGTACACACACACACACACGCGCGCGCGCTCTCACACACTGTGTCGGGCCCGCAGCTGACATGCTAATGATTTCATCAATAATTAATACTCCGAGACCTCATCAATACTTCAGCAGATCTCGGGGCCAAATTGGAAGCTTCCGCTAAAATCCAGAGCCAAGTGTTGGACATTTCATCTCTGTATCTGAGGCGCCTGAACACACAACTGCTGAATCTGACACTGTTTTTAATTAACAAGTCATTTTGGACTATGATGGTTTGAGTGTCTTTGCCAGGCTTCATCTATTGAACCGGATCAGATGAAAATCACCGTCAGGTAGCAGATAGTCGTCATTGTAATGTTATTTGTGACAAAGACCGGTCTGTTTGCTGTGTGGCTCATCAATAAGGCATGCCCGTAATGGCTGTGAATCAGCTTCTTTTTTTTTTTTTTTTTTTAAGCTTAGCAAAATGACGACATACCTATCTGCTCAATCACAGCAGACAGTGTTTACAGAAAGTCCTCTTTACAATTGCTCTAAGCACATTCAAAAATTACTACTTTCAGACTGTCTGTCCGTCTATAGTTCCTATATTCCTATATATGTGACTTTCTTTCTGTAAGCACATTTCTATTTCATATGAATTATTGAAGGTGCAAGAGTGCAACGAACCCTGTGTGGCATCTTTCCGCTTCTGCACAGTTCAATTACAGTTGGTTCACTGCTGCACTTTCTTCCCATCATATCTTGTGTTAAACTTAACTAAACTAAATGTAACATGGCGGAGATGGCTTTCTTTTTTGAGTTCGGGGGTGAGAGTTTATGCCATCCGAACTGAATTATTTTTTTAATCACTAATTGATTTGTTTTCTACATAATAAGATGAATCAGAGTGTTAAATTCGGTACAACAAAGGGTTTTAATCGAAGAGTTGATCAGCGAATCGGCACATTTTGTCCGCAACACTTGCAAACAGACAAAGATTCCCACAGTCTGATAGTGATTACGGCCTCGTCAGCCGCCAGCGGTGCTGGTTTCCATGGTTGCTAATTGGCCAGATTAGGGAACAGTTTGTGATGTCATGTTGTTAACTTCAGACCTGTAATTGGTGTATTATTAACATGTAATTATAGCAGTCGGATGGAGTGCAGCCTGGTCAGGACCCCCCAAAAAAACAGATTACGTGTGTGTGTGCGCGCATGTATGTTTATGTCTGTGTGTGTTCACCAAAACCCTGCGTGTGGTTTTGAGACCAGCCAATGAATGCTGAGTGCTTCGGCTTTCTAATTAGCTGTTGCTCATGTGGCAAAATACATACACAAGTGTGTGTGTGTGTGTGTGTGTGTGTGTGTGTGTGTGTGTGTGCGCGTGTGTGTGTGTGTGTCTTCGCATGCACCCATTCACTGACTTCTCTGTAGTGTCTGTGACATGTATACACAGATGACCTCAGCCCTTTGGACTCTCGGCTAACCCTACAAAACACACACACACACACACACACACACACACACACACGAGGCCGCAGATCGTCTGTGGCCAAGTCTGAGAGGAATTAGGAAGTGGTGCATGAGGATTGATATAATAGTGCTGTGTGTGTGTGTGTGTGTGTGTGTGTGTGTGTGTGTG